TGAAATAGACAAAAATGGAATCCGTCCAGGACAATATTAAATAGTAGCTGTTGCCAGTTTTCCCGTTCCCAAAAATTTGCATGAACTAAGACAATTCCTGGGCCTAAGCTCTTACTTTCGAAAAATAAAAAATCACGCAATTATAGTATCACCGTTAACTAATCTCTTAAGAAAATCATCATTAAACAACAATTAACATCTAGACCCCTACTCAGCATTTTTGACCCAAATCTCGGAACTGAATTGCATACGGACGCAAGCAGTAAAGGTATTGCTAGTATTTTATTACAAAAACATAAAGATAATTTCAGACCTGTCATGTACTATAGTCGCATGACAAGTAAAGATGAAACATTTTATCATTCTTACGAGTTAGAAACACTTGCCATTGTAGAATCCATTAAGAGATTCCGTGTTTATTTATTTGGAATACATTTTACTATCGTAACAGATTGCGCCGCTGTGCGTTCAACGTTTACGAAACGTGATCTATTGCCTCGAGTAGCCCGATGGTGGCTTGCGATTCAGGATTTCGATTTTGACATAAAACACAGACCAGGCGACAAAATGAAACATGTCGATGCTCTTAGTCGGAACATACCTGGCACAGATGATTGGTTCTTAAGCATTCAACTGCAAGACGATACCCTACGAACAATTTGTGAAAAACCTAAACAAAAAGATTGTGACAAACAAATAAAGTATACATACCTAATTAAAAATTATCGGTTGTATAGAAAAACAGGTGATGGAAACGAAAAATTAGTTATACCCAAATCTGCTAGGTTCAATATTTTGAAAAAGTATCATGACGAAATTGGCCACATAGGATTTCAGAAATGCGAATCATTAATAAAAAGTAGATTTTGGTTTCAAGGTATGACAAGACTTATAGAAAAATACGTGTATGCGTGTCTAGACTGTGCCTATAAAAGGGATCAGTATGGAAAGAAGCCAGGGTTTTTATTTCCCATAAATAAGCCAACTGAGCCCTTGCACACTTGGCACATTGATCATTTAGGTCCATATATCAGGAGTGGAGGTGGATTTTGTTACATATTAATGATAGTAGATTCATTCTCAAAGTTTTTGTTCGCGCGGCCGACAAAAACTACCAACTCAAAAGAGGCAGTGCATATTTTGAAAGATCTCTTCAGTATTTTTGCAGTACCCAAAAGAATCATATCTGATCGTGGTAAAGCATTCACCAGTCGAATTTTCAAGGAGTTCACAATGAAATATCAATTTAAACACATTCTCAATAGTGTTTCATCCCCTAGATCTAATGGCCAAGTAGAACGATATAATTTGACATTGAAAACTGCTATCAATGCTAGTGTAAATGACGAAGATGAGTGGTATTCTGTGCTTCCGGATATAGTATGGGGTATCAATAATACTGTCAACGCAAGTACAGGATTTACCCCTCATAGACTAATGTTTGGGTTTGACCAAGCCAAACATAGTGATTTAGATAGAAACATTGACATAAGGGTAGATAGAGAACATGATAAACTAGTTGCTAAACAAGAGATGGACCAACAAGCTGATAAAATGAAACGGATATTTGACGTAAAAAGGAAAACAGCAGAGATCTTTGAGGTTGGCGATCTGGTATTGTGGAGCGGGGGCGGTACGTCGAGAAAAGAAGTAACCAGAAAAACTGGAATTGAATTCTGTGAGCCTTATAAAGTAAATAAAGTTAAGGGTAATGATAGATATGAGATTATTTCCTTAAAGGGAATGAAAGGTTATAAAAACTATACGGCCACAGTACCAGTAGATCAATTAAAAAAATATACTGGAGGAGTATTGATAGGAAGTGAGTCTTACAGTGAAATTGATAGTACCGACGAACTGTTAGATTTATTAGAGGGTTGATGTTCTTGTACATTTCCTAGGATTTACTTATTAGTTCGTAACAAGTCTTCTATGTGGAATGGAGCTATGTAAGCATAAAACACAGCTCTAGAAAGCATAAAATATCATGATAGTGCACAAAGTATATGAAAATAGTATTTCGAGCTCTATATAGTGAGCATAAAATTCAAGAATAATTCCTGAGCTCTAAAGAGCATAAAATAAAAATATAAAAAGAAGAGTCGGTGACTCAAATAACATAAAAAAAATAAGACAAATGAGAACTACCAAAAGGTAGCATGAAATTGTTAAAGCTACAACTACTTTGTTTCCTTCTTTTTGCAGAACACTGTCACGTAAGCCGTACCAGGAGAAGAAAAAGAAGACGAGGACGTCTGAGCAGTAAGGATGGCCGAATGTGATGACCCATCAGTATATAGCACACGTGTTTGATTATATTGTTCATATTGCTATATAAATATTGATGATTATTGATTTAGGTCTAGGAGCACTCTGTAACTTTCATTTCAATGAGATCATTATAGCGATAGTTCGTATATGAAATCTGATATCTGCTGAAGATGCAGAAGTTTGTTTAATTTTCGCCAGGGCCAAATGAACTCAATAAGTTAAATCTCCTGTTCAGTTTTTTTTCAATATAGAATATATCGTAGACCCGACAGCAGCGTTATATTTTTGATAGTCGTTATAATACTACTTCAATCAATCAATCAATCAATCAATCAATCAATCAATTTATTCAATTCAATTCAGATATATACATACATGTTCTTTTATATTGTTAATGTTACATAATTATCGTAAATAAATATAGTATCTTATTACATTAAATTGCGAAAGAAATTATTATTAACTAAATAAGTAAATAAGTGGTGGTGTTCAGTTCTTGGGAGACGCCTAAGCAGAGCTTGTGTTGCGTATTTTCCCAGATCTGGACACAACCATGAAGGTAAATAGAAAAAAAATAAGATGAAGGAAACTGTTCATTCATTTCAGTAAAAAATATGAATTGAGAATCAACAAAAGTCAATGATCAACTCACAGGAGGATCGGACAAGACACAACACTGATTGTTTTCTTGCGTTTTTTAAAGCTTTTCATATTTCGTAGTTCAATGGAAACTTGATTGATAAGTTTTGGTCCAAAGAAAGTAACAAACCTTTGGGTTTATACATTTTTACAAGGAACACTAATTGTTCTCTCGGATCTGGCTCGGGTGTCATGTGTGTGTCTTAGATATGTAAGAGGCGAGTTCATCGTCCATAGTATACAGTGCTAGGTGTATAATTTTCTGATATTAAATAAGCTAGCCTCCTTGTATAAGCTCTCAGTTGGATGTCTTTTGTCTCTTTTCAGTACTATTTTAAGCAAGGTGTTTTGTATTACTTGAAGATTATGTAAGTTTGTTTTATTCAACACACCCGAAACAATAATACACTACCTTATAATTGATTCTGCTAATGCATCGTATGTCATTAGTAATAAATGTTTATTTAGTTTGTCTCTGAGTTGGTAGAATTCGAAAATGAGTTTTCTAAGTCTTTTCACGAGAAAGTCTACATGTTTGTCCCAGCGTAAATGTTGGTCAAGCATCACTCCCAGATATTTTATGGAATCCGTTTTTTTTATACGTGGACAGGAGCAAATTGAAGGATTTTGGCAGTTGGAGGTATGTATGAAAATGTTTTCCTCTAGTGGTTGGTCTCTTGTTGTTGGTGAGAAGGTCAAGAATTGGTTTTATCGATGTTTAGACTCAGAAGACTAGAATTCAGCCAGGAAAATATAATGTTTAATCCGTTTTGTGCTTTCGCATAAGTAGAGTCCCATGTGTTATCATAGAAAATCAAGGCCGTGTCATCAGCAAACGAAATAATATCACCCTCAATGTTTTTCAAGTTGTAAATGCTGTTGATATATATTAGGAACAGAATTGGACCCATGACAGTGCCCTGGGGAACACCCAAGGCGACTGGCTGTGGCTGGCTATAGGTATCATTAATTTTGACCCTTTGGGTTCGACCTTGTGAATAATCGACTAGTAATTCCAAAGACTTGCCTCTCACTCCTACATTTCCTAATCTCTGTAACAAAATATCGTGATTGACAGTGTCGAAGGCTTTGGCCAAGTCTAAAAACACTGCTCGACACTTTTTCTCTTCATTGGCGGTATTCAGTATTTTATTCACTAAGTGAAACACGGCGTTTTCCGTTAACATATTTTCTCTGAATCCATATTGGCATGGTGATAAAATCTCATGTTTCTTCAGGAAACTTACAAGTCTACTTTTTAAGCACTTTTCAAAATATTTCGCAAAGTTATTTATTACCGATATGGGTCTGTAGTTTGTGGCGAGTTTTTTGTCTCCGGCTTCGAAAATAGGCGTTGTGGTGGCTTCTTTGAAATTATTTGGAATCGTGCCATTAACAAAACATTTATTAAATATATGACATAGGGGATCACGGAAGTATTGGTGACTTTTTTTCATTAAATAAACAGACACTCCATCAGGACCAGCAGAAGTTTTGTTTTTTAAACTAGAAATCAGATTCGTTAGTTCATTGCGTGTTACTGAATGGAGGAATAGGGACTCTTGAATATTGAATTTTTGTTCGGGAATGGGAGTAGTTTTTTCCTTGATCTTATTTGCCATGTTCAGACCAATGTTGGAAAAAAAATTATTAAAGTAGTTGGCTTTGCTAAGGTCATCTGCAATTTTGTCTCCATTTTCATCAATTATGTCATATTTGGTACTGTCCCTAGAGTGAGTTTTTCCATTTGTTATTTCATTAATTTGTTGCCAATTTTTTTTTTTTATCCGCCTCTTTTATTTTATTCATATAGTATTCATTTTTGGTTTCTTCAAGGAGTGAGTTGAGATAATTTCTGTATGTTTTATACTCTTATTTTAGAATTTAGGGATTTAGTTTCATTAAACTTCTTCTTGAGTAGATCTCTGTGTCTGATAGAATAAAGTAGACCCTGTGTCATCCATGGTTTTAATCTTTCCTGATTTTTTTTACTTACTTTTTTATTTGTTTTGCTACATCTTACAATGGTTTCAGATATTTTATATATAAATTTGTTGTACACAGAGAGAAAACTTTAATAATGGTAATTGGTCAACTCCTGTTGGATTGTCACCCATAAAGGCTTCTTTTGGGGCCTACTACCTGTCTCTTGTTGTGAGAAATCGAATAAATAGATATATTGTGTACTGGGTGTTCGACCTTTATCTTCGTCAATTACAACTAACCCTGAGATATCACCCTTTCGTCCGGGGTGCTCCGCTACATCTTGTCGCCCAACTAAAGGGGCTGGTGAAGTTCGAGCAGTCCACAACAGCCAACCCAGTCCACCAGCATCGCAACCCCAAAGTTATTCTGGGACTGAACCCCAGAAAGAATGGTAATCCATACCCCAGTTCACCAATATGGAACAAGAGCAAGAGGACGAGGTAGGGGAATGTCCCCCATGGGTACCCCCAGAGCACATGACGGGGGCATAGGTCAACAGGGTGAACTGCATGATAAGCAGCATCAAGGTAGGCCTAGTCTAGTAGATCCTGAGACAGCCTCAGCTTTGTGTGCGCAGCCAAACCCAAGGGGCCACTCAGTGGCGAGACTGCTTCAGAACAATTTGCAGATGTTACAGAGCCACGGGGCCATAATAGCAAAAAATCAGTGGTAGGAGAAAGTCTTCTAAACACAGGTTTAGAGGGTAACATCAGTAAGAACATCAATTTTTTCAGCCAAACTATAGTACCGGGGGCACAAAAAAGTGCTGAGCTAACCCATGATTATCAAATGAATATTCCATTGTGTGATACAATACAATCATCACAGAGTCCAAATAATTTAGGGAAAAAATTTTTACCAGACAGAGTACCTTTAGTTAATAATGATAATCATAGTCAGAAACCTCCTATCAGGACATTTACTGACCCTGGAGTAAATTTGGATGTTTTATCCAGACCGCCTTTCATGACAATTATACAGGATGGTTTTTGCAAAAATGCCAAATCAAAAGCTCCAGAGGCTGGTGTAAAATATGGTGAAACTTCAAGTTTGTTGCAGGGCAGTCCACCTACCAATGTGTCTCATTTTATTGATGAAAGGTTTCATTGTGAAAATAAAAATTCCTTACAGGGTGACCCTCGTAAAAATGTTCAGTTCCAATCTGTGGATGATAGGTTTTATTATGAAAATCTAAATCCTATACAGGGTGACCGTCGTAATCTGTGGATGATAGGTTTTATTATGAAAATCGAAATCGTATACAGAGTGATCCTCGTAAAAATGTTCAGCCCCATTCAGTTGATGATAGGCTTTATTATGAAAATCGAAATCCTATACACGGTGACCCTCGTGAAAATGTTCAGTTCCAATCTGTGGATGATAGGTTTTATTTTGAGAATCGAAATCCTATACAGGGTGACCCTGGTAAAGATGTTCAGTTCCAACCTGTTGATGATAGGTTTTATTATGAAAATCGAAATCCTATACAGGGTGACCCTGGTAAAGATGTTCAGTTCCAACCTGTTGATGATAGGTTTTATTATGGAAATCGAAATCCTATACAAGGTGACCCTCGTGAAAATGTTCAGTCACAATCTGTTGATGAGGGAGCTTATTTTGGAAAAACGAGGTTATTACAGAGTGGTCCTTGTACCGGTGCCCAGACTAAAGTTCCAGGTGGTAACCAACATTTAATACAGAGTGGGCATCTTGAAAATGTTCATTCTAGACCTCACATTGATAGAAATTATTGTCAGAAAACAAATGATTTACAGGGTGGCCCCTGTACAAGTGACCAATCTAATCATACCAAAAATATCACCTCAGCTTATTGTCCAAATATCGAGGAAAATACTGTATCGGGTAGGAATTGCTATGCTGAAAAACCATATCGGGTTTTGAATACTCCACCATGCAGATCTGTTCCCACAAATATGGGTTCCCATATAACGGGTGTCCAAAATGATGTTTCTACTTCAATGTATTCAAATATGAATCCCTTGGTTAATCCTTCACAGGGTGTTACTCAGAATATTCCAGTTCATTATCAGAGTCACAATCCCCCACATGGTTTTGAGAATATTGGTACACAGGGCTTTGAAAATGTACTAATAAATGATAAAAATCTCAGCCAAAAAAATACTATACAGGGTGTGTCAGGTAACCAGCCTATTTGTCCAAGTGGGTATAGTAACAATTATTGTAATGTGATGGGGAATTTGAACTCCCAACCCATGCCATTTTCCGAAAATAACCTCAAAAATATAGAAGCCACAAGACTAATTCCTTTTTTTGATAATGAGGGAATTCACCCGGTTTTATTCATAGATAAATTAGAATACTCCAACAATCAATTGAGAATGCCTTTCCATGTAGTCCCTCACTGGTGTCATGCACTTTTCAAGAAGAAAGCAAAGCTCTGGGTGGACGCGATGCTCTACAACTTTGCGGATTTTTCTGAATTAAAGCGTTCATTTCTTAGCTATTTTTGGGGCGACGCCCGCCAGTTAGAAATTCGTAGTCCTTCAGAAACGGGTAAATACCGACCTAGCGAAGGAAATTATGTAGATTATTTCCTAAATTTGCTCTCCAAGAGCAGGTATCTGCAACCAGTGTTATCAGAACCCCTTTTAATATCCATGATCGCAAGACATTTTCCGTTATCTGTGGCTGCTGATCGGGACAAACACTGTAACGAACGCTATCACGTTGTTATCGCTAACAATATTCGTCGAGATCCTAGGCCATTCAGAGGTAGCGGAAATGTTGGTGAGTCCGCTTTTACAAAAAACGTCTCGGCCATGAACTCGATTGATGAGTGCGTAGAGGTGTCGGAAAACTGAGTGCAACCCATCAACATAGTCCGGTGGTGGGGGTTCTGGGTAGGACTGACTCTAATAGGATCAATCGTGGAAATTATCTGGTCGACGATTTATTCGAGGAGTGTGATAGTGGTCATACTGTGCCGATCCCTCGGTCGCCTTTTGTCGAAATTAATGTAGGAAGTTTGCATTTTCCCTCACTGATCGATTCAGGCAGTGATATATGTTGTATGTCTGATGAAGTTTTTGGTCAAATCACGGTTTCTTTGCCCAAATTGACCTTTTTCAAAGTCAGTGGTATTCGAATAACCGGGGCTTTCAAGGCAAAACAACGCCGAGTTTCATCTCAAGTTTTTCTTCCTTTTGCTTTGCAAGGGGAATCTTTCAGTTTTGAGTTCATGGTCATCCCGGATTTAGCTTATGCAGTTATTTTGGGAATCGATTTTTTACGAAATTATCATTCAAAGATCGACCTGGAATTGGGAAGGATTGTCCTTAATTTGGATAACCGTCAGTTGGTTGTTCCCGAGCTGTATTTGGAACACGAAACAGAGCCAATTTTGGAAAAGATTGATTCCCTTCGATTATGTGCTATAAATCAGTCGCACCCACCTGTGATTGCCACCGTTAATGTTTCTGCTAGTTTCGAGGAGGTAATCAGACTAGCTGAGTTGTCCCCAAGCCAGTCTACAATATTTGGGGAATTATTACAAAAACATCATGATATGTTTTCTGAAGTACCCGGTAGAGTAACTCAGTACGAACATTGTATAAATCTAGCAGATCCAACCCCTTTCTCAATTAGGCCGTACCATGTTCCTTTTGCTCATCGTTCCGCGGTACAATCTGAATTGGATAAAATGGAACAGTGGGGTGTCATCGAAAGATCCAACAGCCCATTTTGCAGCCCTTTGGCGACTACCATCAAAAAGGATGGTAGCATAAGAGTCTGTCTGGTTGCCAGGAAGCTTAATTCCGTCATGGAAGCAGACAATGAACTGCCGCAACCCATTGAGGAAATCATGAAGGAAATTTCCAGTGTCAGGTATATGAGTTCGTTAGATTGTACCCACTCTTATTGGCAGATACCTATAAGGGCTGAACACCGAAAGTACACCGCTTTTAGGTATGGAAAAAGGTGTTACCAATTTCGAGTGTTGCCTTTCGGTTTGAAAACCGCAGTATCCAGTTTTACCCGCTGTATGGACCAAATTCTGGGACCTTTTTTACAGAATTTTGTACACGTTTATGTAGACGATATACTGATAACTTCCGATTCCTTCGACGAGCATATCCGTCATCTGGATCTGGTACTGACTAGGCTTGCGGAATCCGGGTTTACACTCCGTTTGAAGAAATGTGTTTTCTTCAAGAAAGAAATGAAGTTCTTGGGATATGTGCTCAACTCGGAAGGCTGGAAAGCCGATCCAACTCGCACTCAGGCGATACGGGATTTTCGAAAACCTAATAACATCAAAGAGTTGCAAAGCTTCTTAGGACTTTGCAACTATGACCGTAGCTTTTCGGCGGAGTTCGCACTAGTTGCTCTGCTTCGGAAACGTTCTCGTTGGTTTTGGGGAGAGTCTCAGGCGAAGGCGTTCAAGGAGATGAAGGAAATAATTTGCAAGGAGGTCCTATTATATCATCCCCAGCAAGATCGACAGTTTATAGTCCAGACAGATTGCAGCGATGTAGGTTTGGGCGCCGCCTTATATCAACGTGGAAGTGGTAATACTAAGTTCGTAGTGGCATACGCTAGTCGGTTGCTGCTCGAACGGGAGTGAAGATACTCGGTCCCCGAGCGGGAATTGTTAGGTATTATTTTTGCACTCAAAAGGTGGAGGATTTATTTGTTGGGACGTCATTTCACTATCTTCAGTGACCATCGGTCTCTCTCATTTTTGCGGTCGTGTCGTTTATTGTCTGCTAGGATTACTCCTTGGGTCTTGGCGTGCCAGGAGATTGCGTTCGACATTGAATATATCTCGGGGTCTAGTAATGTTATCCCTGATACCCTTTCTCGAAATCCCCCTGCTAGATTGCCGGTACCTGGGGACAAAATTTTTCGTGTCCCTTCTATTTCAATAGACTCTACGAAATGGAAAGAATTCCTTCAACTTTTGCCAACGGGTCAGCGTTTCGATACGAGTTTGGCTAAGGAAATTGACAATTTGGAAAAGGGAATGCCTTCCGATAGATTTATTCTCCATGACGACCTTTTGTATTTTCAACGGGAAGACAAGTGTCTACTGTGTATTCCCGTGTCCCTAGTCCAGAAGCTCATTCAGTATTATCACGAAGAGTTTGGTCATTTCGGAGTGTATAAGACATGGTGTACTCTAAGGGCAGATGTCTGGTGTCGCGGACTCCACAAATTGGTGAAACGAACCGTGAAATTGTGTGATTTGTGTCAAAAAAGCAAAGCCTCCATAAGACTGAAACTCCCCATGGAGCCAATCATTCCTGAAGGCCCCAGAGACCTGGTCGCAGTAGATTTGTATGGGCCACTCCCACCATCGCGTGGAGGAGTGACATTTCTGTTGGTGGTACTGGATGTATTCACGAAGTTTGTCGCATTGTACATGTTGAAGCGAGCAACGGCTGAATCTGTGGTCAAGCACTTCACGACAGATTACGTGAAACATGTAGGGAAACCCCAACGGGTTCTGAGCGACCATGGGACTCAGTTCACTTCTGCGTTGTGGCAGGAGTCCCTGGCCCGCCTAGGGATACGGGTGGTCTATAGTTCCATTAGGCACCCTGAAGGAAATCCTTCAGAGCGAGTTATGCGGGAGCTAGGGCGTTTGTTCCGGGCTTTTTGCCACGCCAAACATACTCGGTGGGCAT